TTAACTAAGGGAAGTCTCAAAACTATTTTTATCGTTTTAATATATTATAATACAATATTTTTTTAAACTTTGAAAAGTAAAAAAAAAATGCACTTCATCAATGTTGACATTATTTTGTGATGTAACATAATGTATTTTTTTATATATAGCAACACCGAATACATTAAAACCAAATCAAATTTTAGCTCCATACACGTAGGTCAAAACAGTAACAATGTAATTTATTATCTTTTAACTTGATACAAAAGCAAAAAAATACAGAAGATAATAAAATTAGTAGCTACAGACGTTAGGTTAATAAAGTTATTTCAATCCGATAAACCTATAAGGCGACTTGACTTCTTTTGATCGCGTCCATAATTGTCAAAGGAGTTTTAATATGTTTCTGTAACAGAAAATGCTCCCAGCGATAATTCCTTTCAATTATAACAGATGCTGTGTGTAACAAGCAGGAAACCGCATTATACATTTCCCGGCCTTTGATCTTAATGGATGGTTATAAAATCGAAACCAATTTTGGATATCTGTCACTGTCAGTTATTTATGCGAGTGACGGATTTTTTGTGTCACGGATAGGAAAAATATGGTTACATCCGTCAATTTTACTTACTATACGTGGCATACTGAAATATATTGGATATAAAATCAAATATGTATATGTAAATATATAAATTAAATTTCGGAACGAATACCTAAATAATCGCGGACACGTATTCAATCAAGACTGGATAAAAACATAAATCTCAAGGTTACTTCAGTTGTCAAATTTCCGCAAATTAGGGTTTTGCGGTTGAAATACAAAAAGCAGTCAATTGCATTTAACCACCAATTTAATGAGTGAATTATTATGAGTAAATTTGTGTAATGACGATTATAGTAGATCATGATTATAAAGTCTTAGACTTAAGTTCTTTCTTTGTGAAGAGAAAAGTTATTTGTTTTACAATAATGTATCTTCCGCTAGGAGTAATTACAATATGAGTAAAAGTTAAAAACATCAAGAATCTCTCATCAACATGCTACTACTGTAAAATATATATACAATATAACTCTACTTCTTAATTGCAGTTAGTTTTGTAAGCATAGGTACACTTATTTTTATAACATTAATTATAATTAGAAGATAAATTGAAAATTTGTACAGCATCACCTTTTACGATGTCCACCAGAAAATGTTTTTCTTTATAAAACTTGCCAATCATCATAAACTAAGGTGTGCATATATTACAAATACTAGAACAAATGAAACAATATCTTTACTTACAATAAAAGCACACTTATGTGCAAAGTCGATCACAATTGCGGTCACAGCCGATCATAGCATGATACGCTTTATTTTCACACAGAAACGAAAACAGTGTATCAAATTCTCCACATTATTAAATGTGCTACATTTATATTACTTAGTCATCGCGTCGAATTATTTCACTTGCTTTCGATCACTTTCCCCGTTCCTACGCTTTCCTATTTTGGACTAATTCGGTGTCATCAGTGATTTTTATTGGCTTTCGTTCGTATCTTAACGAGCTTCATACTACGAGTAGGTATATCACACGTTTTGTATTGTTATGATGTTAAAATTTGTCTGTCTTTTTAATGTCATCCATTTAGTTAGTAAGTCAGGTCGATTTATGAAAACATGGTCTATCTGATATTTTTGGCCAATAGTGTTTATAGACTCTTGTAAATATCTTCCATTTAGAAAATTGGAGGGAAAAGTAGGGAAGTTGCTGAAGGGCTGAGTTGGGGTTTTAACCAATCTCAATATTTTTATATACTACGTCATTGGCAAACAAGTATATCTAAGTAGATATACTTGTTTGCCAGTGACGTGGCCAATGATAGTAGGCCTTATGTTAAGTAGACTGCTATACTAGAGGTCACTTATATGTTGCCGATTTCAAATACCTATTCATTCTTCTCTTGAAGAAACCTATGCTGTAGTCGTATGAAAAACAACGACGCATTTGCATCTGCATTAATTAATAAACGCCAATTTTGTATGAGAACACAAACGCCAATTTTATATATTTTTTTATATAAACGACGATATATTAAGGCACGACCTCTTTACCACCCCTTCGTCACGCGATTTACGTAACACTGCACCTAGTTTGCAGTAAGCCCAGATCGTTTCTAACTATGCCATGACAGAACGACATTCCTCAGTACACTGCGAAGTTTAAAATAAATGGGACTGTCCCTTTGTCAAGGCCCTCTCATTATTTTATATAAATAACGACTACTGTTACAAATCAGTGTTACAGATTGATCAAATAATGTAGTATTACTAGTAGTACTCATATGTAGTATTTGTTACATTTTGGTTTTATATCATTGCAAACTTCATAAACTTATTATAAGACGGATTTTCATCATGGAAAGTAAAGTAAAGTAAAGAGTGCCGCTTCACTTTCCACCGCTGTCGTCTTTAATTTGACAGTAATGACATGTCATTAGCGACGATCATTTGATGCTTTCCTCTTTGATATTGAAACCATCAGCAGGGGAAATCTATTATATTATGATGCAGGATGGCCAAGTAACAATTAAAGTGTTTGTTTATATGTTTAAATTAATTCTAGAACAAATAATAATACAATTATATGAAAAATACCACTTAAAACAAAAAAGAAAGTATAAAGAATGCAATATTTAAAAGTTTTGTCTAAATTATTTTGTTTCTATTCTTTTACTTTAATACTTGAACTAAAATTTAACAGTTCTATATACTAGCAGGCAAGTAAATTACCTATGTAGTTTAGGTTCTGTATTCGCATAAAGTTACAGACTGGTATAAATCTTGGCCATTCAAGTCTCCTTATCTGCCAAACACAGTATCAATCCCTATGTTTTTCTACGTACCTTCACGCATATATCATTACAACTACGGTTATCAGTAAGGCGCTTAAAATTTATAGATCTTAACACCATCACCTAAAGGTGATAATGGCTTGCAAGGAACGTGAGATTGATTAGAGTCGTTTCCTGTGCCTTTGGACCGGCTTTCCACTGATCTCTTTACTTACATACTGGTTTTATCAATTTATTTTTGCATCTCATCTAGTCTTTATTACCAGGGACGAAGGTTGTGTTTTGCGCGTTACGAGAGTTTGACAATCCTTGCTGTACTTGTGTGGCCTTGGTAGGCTGGAACAACAACTTATATCGGGTAAATACGTTGAATTATGGAAGTATTAAGATTTAGATAGCGGTGATTACAAAACGATTGCAAGTGATTGTATATAATTTATTATAACACACTTGTCGTCTGGATCCTGTTCCTTTAGTGTGTATTGTATTAATAGAATAATAAGTCTCAGTACAAATAATTTTTGCATTTAAAAGATATTAACTAGCAACGTTGTTTTAGAACAGTAATACATATAAACTTCAATTTACTTCAAAAGATTCTCGTACATATGAATAGCGTTTTCATCTTCGAAACGAAGCTCAGAATCTGTTGGCTATAAATAATTTTTTGGTCAATCAAAAGTAATCGGACAATCTAACGGAGTAAACGGATTTATTTTATTGTGATGGGTCTCCGTTAGAATCAAACAAATTGGCGAAGTCACGAACTCGTGTGACCGCAGTGACCTTTGAGCTCCAATATGGAACAATGTCACAAAACAAATATATAGATTATTGACTTGCAAGATAAATTTATAGGGAAGAGATAGTTCGTGTGATCGTGGTATTGGAGAGAGTCTGAAGCCCTGAGGCAATCATGGAACTTATGGTTTATAAGACAGAAAAATGAAATATTCTACAAATATAATGAGTCAGTTTTATTTTAAAGCTTCTACAAATTTTGTTATAAATAGCTACGAATTCTTCTAAAGTCACCACTGATTTCAATTTGGTGGTATAATACGCCCGTGTGTTTTCATCTATGGCAGAACTATTTAATTTTGCAATAAACTGTACTGTACATTTATCATATTAAGTACTCCCTTATTTGTCCCTGTATCAAAACGAACAATAAAACTAAGCTGCCATTCACTTATATTTCAAAGGCTTAAAGCATATAATAAAACTGCAGCATCTAATTTTATCTCGCCACTGATAAGCATAATAAAATACAATGTCAGTGCCGTCCTCCATATAAGGATGGAGTAACGGGTAAACTGTGATCCACATTCCCTAATTGGTATCTCGTTATAAGACTAGAATGTGCATACGATTATCCTCTCCAAGTTCAAAGACGTTATGCCTATAATTGTGTAACTATATATCAAGCTCTGTTTATCAGACATCGGTAGCGTCTTCTATGACAGAATATTTTAATATTTTTGTATTACGTCATTATTGTGTGATTATTTTCATCAACAAACTTGAATTTTAAAAGGTTTTTATTTGTCAATACAGTAGTGGAAGTCCGAAGCACTGCGGTGTCGAATCGGGGCACTGCAGTCGTCCTACATTTAGTTTTGTTATGCAAGTGCAGAGGAATTTAGTCGTTATCTATACAAAAAGTGAGGTATTTTGAGACAATGGTAGTGTGCAGTTGAGATTTGCGGATTTGTGGATGCCCGCTTCCTAAAGACAGCTCGCCTTTTCTTGACCTACCTCGACATGTTTAAAATAGGCCAATGCATTATGCAATTAATGTTGAATTCTTAACAAATTATTATTTTTACACCATCTATTTATGCAAAGATAAATTTTGATTACTATTTAATACATTTTACATGTATCTAAACCTGATTCCTATATCAATTTTTTGCTCTTTCGAAAGTCTAAAGTCAGTATAACTTTTACTTACGTTAGTGAATATGTATAAGAAGTTATTATCAGATAGAAGAAGACATTTTTAGTGATAGAAATAAATACTATCACTATTTTACAATTAATATAATTGATAGCTTAATCATTTTGTAAAATGGATTTAAACTCCAAAAACGATATATGTTTTGTTATATATAGTGTATTATAAATGTCTATTTATCATCCCATAGCCAAATATTTCGTCGTATTCCATAATTCGTCGTACTTACCTCCACATATAACATCCGCGAGGTTCGTCTGAACACATTGATGAGTGACGGCTCCATCCCTGACTGTGGTGATCTCTCCATACAACTGATGCAGCGCCTCCTGGTCTGACATGAGCATAGTACGAGGACTGCTGCACTCATCTTCAGTGGAGTGATGACGGGATGACGAACGGGAACGGGAACGACGACGTCTAGACAATTTAAAAGTTTTAATTAATATACATATTGAATTTTTCTTACAGTTTTCTTTTAATTCAAGTCATTAAATGAGGATATTTTCCGTTCAAACGTTTTTTCTTCATTACCTTTGTCATAAAAAAGTAAAGCTTTTGACTAAAGCACGGAAATTATATTTCTTTGTTAGATTTTGTATTACATATGCATATGTAAATTATGTATTTAATATGATCAATTTGAATTACGAAATTTTTGGAGAGTAAACCACAGTTGGAATTTTTGTTGCTCTTTCAAGTTTCATATTGAAAAGCCTGCAAAAAATTTCATTAAAATTTCTGGTATAAATAATAAAATTACCTAAAGGCTACAGTTTATTCCAAAGTTAAGTATTTAATAAGAGAATAAGACAACAGTTGCATTTAATGAAGTCACACAACACTATTAGTTAGATTATGGATGGTATTTTTAGTTGAAAACCAAATATATTTAATTTAACTGCATATTAGTTTCTACTTTATTAAATTCCGAAGTTTACGAGGGCAAAGTCGAGTGAAGAAGCTAGTCGTAAATATTTTCTACATACATTTTTTTCTCATGTCTTCGTCAAAATTTAATTATGATTCCTATAGCATTTATAATTGATAGCATGCAACGCTTAATAAAAACTAATAAACAATTCAATATATTTTGATGCAGATATTGACTTTCAAGTTCGGGCTTTGGCCTACATGCTATACGTCCATTGAATAACGAACCTTATGACCGTATGATAAGTATTTATTTTAAACGACAACTAATTTCTAACAGGATTTCGCATGTTTTTGTTATAATCACCTGTCAATTGTAAATGACGTTTTTATTCGTTGCGTCGCTTTTTGAGTATACACAAATAAGACTTTTTGTATAAGAATTAGTTTGTTTTCTATTACTACTATAGATATTAAATTAAATATAACGGTTCTTTTATAAAAAAAAAACATTATTTTTAAACCAGCTGTTGATTGGGGTTTTGTCTGCGTATTAAAACTCTTTTGAGTCATGATTTTAAAGTCTTGTTCCATCTATTGAAGATCCCTTAATAAGATCCTCACTTGATGATAATAAAACTGAAGAAGAAAACAAAAAAAGGAACCTAACTTACTTTAGATGCTATTACCGACTTCCGAGTGAAATTTTCATCAAAATCAGTCTTGTCGTTTCAGAGATAGACAAAAAAAATTAAGTACATACTTTCGCATGAGTTTACTGAAAAGCAGTTAATTCGAAGTTACAAACATATGTACAAACAACAGTTTTATTTAATAGTGTATTAAAGAAGAACAAGAATCAATAAGAACATACTAATTGTTGTTTTCGACTTTTAAATTTTATTCTGTCAAGATAAAAAATAGTGTATAAGCTACACCTAATAGATTTTGCATTAAGTATACAGCATGAATCACTTAGAAACAAGTTTTCAAATAATGTACATATATATTTTTATTATGAATAAAAATATAGAACTGAATATATTTCGAAATTAATGAATAGTCAATAGACAGTAATTAATTATTATTAATTATCTGTAATCTATATTTTTGCAATTCACAAAATCAAATATAACATACAAAGCAATTCATCAATTTATTTCAAAATTTAAGATATTGTTTTATAATACAATTGTATGTTACAAAATATATTGACCGATATTTCTTATCTCCGCGCGAGTGATCAAATACATGAAATAATACAAAAGTACCGCGCTTAATGAATGTGTTTGACCTTAGATATTGATATATTACTTAATACATATAACATATATATAACATACATATAGTGTAACATATAGCAGACACACTCGACATATAATGATTTCATAATATGAAATATTTAACATATAATATTTCCAAGAACGAGTAAGTATTTTGTATAAGAGTACTTAAGTGTTGCTACAAATGTTTAGAATGTAAACTAAACTTACGGTGTAATTTTGTAAAAATACTTTTATAATATGAAAAAAAAATATAATATGTCCTAATGATTAAATGGCCGAGAAGTTTGTATTTAAATTAATATACAGAGAAGGAAAACATCGTGAGGAAACCTGGACTTATAATTTCACAATTATACGTTTGAAATCACCAACACGTCTTACAAGCGTGGTGATTAATGCTCAAACCTTCTCCATGTGAGAAGATGCTATACTCAGCAGTGGACTCTGATAGGCTGATGATGATACAGACAAGTTAAAAAGACATATTGTACACGCATGTAGTGCAATTAAATTATATATAACAAAATTTCGAATGTATTTTGTTTATATACTCGAAGTATTATAAATGCGAGTGTTAATCTTGATAGCAGTCCAGTGTTCAAGCGACACCCACCATCCAATTAAGTTTTGCGTCTTGTTAACACTGCTCTGATAACTATCGCCGTCTTATCTACACAGAGCTGTTTTATGAATACGTAACCTTACTATTTGAGGTGAAATCATGTTAAGTTAACACATTAAGATAGATTCATTAATGTGTTCTGTTATTTATATAGGAAATTCAATTCTAGATATTTGTTTAATTTTCTAATTTGTGAAGTCTTCACTGTAAGTGCGACTAAACTGTGGCTTTAACTTGATTTGAATAATCAAAATATCTTTCGAGAACTCCAAAAGATTTTTTTTAATAGTTTATTTCATTGATACCATGAAACTGTTTAGTAAAGTACAAATAAATTAATAAGTACGTAGTTATTGCATTGCTTTAACGTAGAATACAAATATACATACAACCATAAATATTAATTCCTTATAAATAAAACTTTACTCCTTTATTCAGAAGCACAAGATGATGATAGGGAGTTACGCGTAATTTTTTTCTTTTTCAATAAATTATGTCTTGCTAAGAGTAAGAACTTTCAAAGTATGACATCTATATCTCTTTACGGAGGTGGTAGAGCGTAGCTGTGGTCAGTTACTACAGCTCGAACACGGGCTGGCTCGACCGGGGAAGTACCACCCTCTCACTGAAGATCGTCGTGAAGTAATCATCAATGACTGCGTTTCGTCCGGTGAGTGAGAGAACGGGTTGTCTTTCCCCTGTTCTTACCCTTTCCTGCCAATTCCTTAATCCCACACCTCCCTATTCCTCCACAACTAAGGTTGACAACGCATCCGTAACATTTCTGTTACGGATGTCCATGAGCGTTGGTCACTACTGCCCGTCAAACTCAAACTCAAATAACTTTATTCAATATAGGAGCATTACACTTTCTTATTGATGGTCACTTGAGACACTACCACCGGTTCGGGAAAACAAAATACCCTGCCCTGAGAAGAAACGGCGAAAGAAACTTAGCGGGTTTTTTTATATATATGTTTGTCTCATATATTATATACATAATTTAATATGAGAAAAATGCCGTCAAATATGCCGTCTGCTCGTACGACTTTTTACATAAGAAAATGAAGCTCAAAGTATTAACTTACTCTGGTGTAACAATGAAGAATCCTCTCGATGTCTGGTATATCTTCCTTTCCTGCATCAGCTGAGCCAGTGTATCATACACCACCTCTTGAGATGGCGTCTGCATCGACGGGAACTTGGAGGATAAGGAGGTCCTTATACTCTCTAATGTTGCTGACTGACCCTGGGAAAAAAAACATTATATCCAATTTAGAATCAAATCATTAATAAAATAATACAGCTATTATATTTAATTTATTTTGCTAATATAACTCGTGTTTGTTGTTCATACTCGTATTTTTTATACATTATGAATCGAGACGTTTATTTATTTGTTCATTTTTACTTAAATTTTTGTTATATGACAAAAATATTAAAGATTATTCGTCGCAAGATCAAGTGTAATAAGTGTTGATCGAAAACAGAAACAGACACAAATTTGCAATAAAAATATCGTACTAACTCCAATAACCACGAATAGAGAGGTCGTGAAAAAAACAGCAGGTTCGAGTTATTTTAAACTAATTAAATTAGACCAATCTTTGTATCTCTCTTAGTATAATTATCAAATTAATCTTTGCAATATTCCATTGTACTACACCAAATTCGTTAAATAGATTAACATAATATAAATATTTTCATTTCTAGTTTACTTTATTATTTGAGACTCTCAAACAAATCTAGTGACAGGACTCTATTAAACAAATGATTTCTCAATACATTCTAATCAACTGATATTCTACAGATCTATTTAAGGAAAACCACTTGTAATATTTACGTAGGTACAGCTTCATCGATCATCACAATCTCATCTAGATATCCTTGAACACCATGTATATTGAGGTCGCACAGATAAATGTTTTATTGTATTATATGCAAATTGTTTCCTCAATAACGAAGATAACTATGATCGTGTTTTGTTTTATCATTTGAATACATAAAGTCCTTCAAATATTTTATATATGTAAGGAAAAAACATTCGCTTTATCATATATCTTCTATATACATATATAAAAATGGATTGCTGTTCCTTAGTCTCGCTAAAACTCGAGAACGGCTGAACCGATTTGGCTAATTTTAGTCTTGAAATACTCCTGGAAGTCCAGGAAAGGTTTAAAAGGTGAGAAAAATTGCCGGGTAAACCCTAAAAACAGCCCTTTTCCATTTCCCATACAAACGATTTTTTGACATTAGACTTGACAACTAATATGTCAATCATTCTGGTCGATTGAAACAGGAAAAATTTAATAAATACCAATAGCGGATTATTGTTAATAGAGTTCGCCCGGTCAGCTATACCTATATTACTAACTAGAAGACCTGGCGAACTTCGTATCGCCCTATAATAAAGAAATATCAATTAAGTTTTTTATTTATATTTTTGGAATTTACCTGTAAGCCATAAATCTCCGTGTTTTGAAGTGCGACAGAATGATTGACATATTAGTTAGTTGTCAAATCTAATGTCAAAAAAAACGTTTGTATAGGAAATAGAAAAGGGCTGTTTTTATGGTTTCCCCAGTAATGAATCAATTTTTTTCAGCTTTTATACCTTCCCTGAACCTCCACGAACATTTCAAGACTAAGATAACATAAATCCGTTCAGCTGTTCTCGAGTTTTAGCGAGACTAAGGAACTGCAATCCATTTTTATATATATAGAAGATGACGAAATTAACGCGGACGAAGTCGCGGGCAAAAACTAGTTATATATAAATTATGAACGCTTCTTATGATCGTACGTAACTTTTTGGTTTCTATATAAATGAATATAGAAGACGTAGAATTTTCTGTCTTTTCGTCAGTATACAGAAATATTATTTGCAAAACTTGAAATCAAAACAACCAATAACGTTTTTTATAACATGAGGTATTAAACAAAAATATTTAAATGAATTCATACTGTCGACCCATCTCAATATAAAATTATAGAGTAAGATTAAAATTTAAATTGTATTTTAAGAAATCTCAATTCATCGAATTATAGGTCGTTAAAAAAAATAGAATACTGACAAGATCAAGGAAAAAAAGGAATGGAATTTACAACAGAATATAAATTTGTGACATATAAATGTGGTATGCATTAGCGATTAGCATATTTAAAATGTATCATTGTAAGAACGTACGGCCTCAGCGGCTTGACAGATGTAAATGTTGGTTGCGTTAGACGTTAGTACAATGTAAGTTATTTATTAGGAGGAATAATTTATTATTTCGTCACAAATTGGATAATTCAATCATGGTATAGGTTAAAGGTATATATTATAGTCATACATTTGAAATATTGAATGATATTATCTTTCAATTAATGTCGTGTTGGTTACACTTATAACTCAAGAACAGCTGACAGGCTTAGTTGAAAATTGGTCAAGAGATAGCCTAGAACAAGAAAAAGGACTAAAAAAATAATTTAATTAAAGCCAAAATTATTTCATGTATTGTTTTTAAGGAGGAATAGAGTTCGGCTGGTCAGCTATATATTTCTAATTCTGAAACGCGCACGAGAAGTCGCGGGGAAAACTAGTATATACTAGTTATATCAAAAAGTATGTATATATATATATATATATATACTTTTTATATAATCTATGTTGTAGCTAACGGATACTCAAGATCGTTTTAATAAATTATAACAAATGTTTTATTTATTTAAATATATAAATAAAATTCAACAACATTATAATAGATTCATTTAGTCATAGACCAGTTTCGGTTTACTCAAGATAATTTATTAATTTTTATTATTTTTGGATGAATATATGTATAAATATTTGCCTACCATTCTAGGTATGAATACAATTAAATTAAAAAAAATATATACATATTAAAAAGGTTTTATATTTAAATATGTTTTAAAGTTCCAAATTCAAATCCAAGTCTGGTATTTCATGATAACTGCGTACGACATTCTATTGTAGCGATGATTGCGAACTCGCTTACGAAATGACAAATTTAGTTAAATATATCGGAATGTTTGGAATAAATCGTATTATGATTATGATCTGGTTATTTATAGTTATTGTGCAGTTTATTTTGTAACTAGAGACATACCTTTGGATATCCGAGATCAATACAAACAGTTCCTTTCATCGACCAAGAGACGGAATTAATTCGTTATTTCAAATACTAGAATAGATATGTCATTATGTTTGACATTTAGTAACAATACAGTATACATATATTGAGTGTGTGTGAGTATGTGTGTGTATGTGTTAAAATTAGAGTAGTGTGTGTGTGTGTGTATTTATTTTAAATGATTAATTGTTACTATATATGTCAAATACACTTTATATGTTTAAATTATACACTCATGAAAAATATTAGTGATTAACATAGATTTAAATCGCCATTTGAACTGATTTAAAAATAGGAGGATGTTCTCAATTATTGAGTTCATTTCTGTGGCCGAAAATGATTGCTTTTCAATAGATAATGTTGTCATATTAAACCGATTACATTCTCTTATTTTGTTTGATAAAATATTATATGAAGAACGGAATTAAAATCAACAATAACTATGAATGTCTACATATTATACAGGGTGACTGGTGAATTACTATCGATATTTGAGGACGTGATATTTGACGATCATATATGACAAAATAAAAATTAATATAACATAAATATTAATAAACTTCTAAGTAAAGTTAACCAAAAGTTATGTAATTAATTACGCATCGTATGAACACCCTACAGATTAGGTATAAACACACACTCACACATACGCATGTCGTGACGTGGTGTTGTATGAACACGTCGCCGCACGCGTCCACACTTGAACACTTGGAACGTGTCAACACTTTACTTATTTATACGGAAATTTTGTCAAAAATTAAGTACCTATTTGTTTTTACATTATTCGAATGAGAATCATCTACCGAGTATTCTCCTTAAATATTGATAGTAATTCACCAGTCACCCTGTATAACCATTATATATTAGATATCAAACCTCAACAGATGTCAATTTTAATGCATTTATTATTGTACAATTCTCATTAATAAATCATCAGAATGACTCACGATTTATCAATGAAAAACCCAGAACAAGTTTAAATCTAGGTCCCATAAAAATTTTAATCAAATTTCTCATTTAAATACATCCATATAAAACAATTGCACAAGCTTTATTATCTTTTTATGTGCTCGATCCTAAATAACGTACGAAATTCGTTAACTGTAAACGCAACCTCAATTATAAGAACACTAAAATGTACGTTTTACTCACAAAATAAGTTAGCAAGCACGTGACCGACCATTAAGACGCTGACCTCATGCCATCGATATTTAGGGTTGTTTTATGAAAACACGTCGACATACAGGTGGCATGCAAGTCATGAGAGGTTATGTAATATTTAATATTAAAAATATTCAATATTAAATATTATAAATATTTTTATTGTTCGAGCATAATAATATGTGTTCTTTTTTCAAATTTCAAACTCATGTATTTGGATTAAAAGAACATACTAAGTCGATTGCTTGGCATGTACTGAAATCTTTGGACGAAAAATTCTAAATCTATAATGACTCTTATTCATTACTAGTTTTTGCCCGCGACTTCGTCCGCGTTAATTTCATGATTAGATTAGTAATATATGTATGGCTGACCGGGCGAACTCAATTCCGTCCTAGAGGCCATAAATAATCAGATTTTTCCTGTTTCAATCGAACAGAATGATTGACATATTAGTTAGTTGTCAAATCTAATGTCAAAGAAAACATTTGTATGGGAAATAGAAAAGGGCTATTTTTAGGGTTTTCCCGGAAATGAATCAATTTTTCTCACCTTTTATACCTTCCCTGAACCTCCACGAACATTTCAAGACTAAGATAAGATAAATCCGTTCAGCCGTTCTCGAGTTTTAGCGAGACTAAGGAACAGCAATCCATTTTTATATATATAGAAGATTTTCCACAGTCTACACAAGTTGATCGATGACATAGGATTTGTAAAATATCAAAACCTCTAACAATAAATAGATAAATGTTAATAAATATGAGATAACAGTGACAGTTGCTAAACTTGGGCCACAGATTAAAACATGCGCGGCTTCAACACAAACCGGTATGAATGTATTTTTATATTTTTTTACATTTCACGGCCAACAGTCATCATTCCGGTATTAGGCTGCACAAATCCTGTTATAACTGAATCTCTCATACAAAATATTCAAAATTTCTTTCACAGCACGCAATCTGTCAGATTTGAACCGTCAATTTGCATCATACTCCGGGCTGTGACATTTATTTAATGTAATCCACAGCTATTATCCAATAGAAGTATTGGCCGAATATGGTAATAAGTTGGCTCATAACAGCGTAATCTGATCGGCGGTAAAATTGTTATACTCAGTGTTATTGGGGTCATATTAAAATGATCCTTATCACCTGCGTCGTGAGGTCCATGATGCAGTCGCAGAGCGCCTCCGGCAGCGGCGTGAACTGGCCCTGGTAGGTCGGCGTCACGATACAGTCTTCGATGTCCCCTGGAGACAAACGAATATCATAATATAAATGTATGTGTGATTAGAATACAAAGCATCACTAGCTTAGAGAAGATAGGACAAAAAAAAATCTATCTTGTAAGTTATATTTTTGTCTAGTTATTTAACTTGTAAGTATGTATATTTTTCGTTATTTTAAAGCAGGGACTTATATTGACAAGGAATGTTAAAAATTTAAATAATACATAAATGACTAACAAATACCTTCGGAGTTACATTGAATAACAATTTTAAATTTAGACATTATAGTGAGTTTTTGTTTAACAGTAACAGTATGTTATCAAATTTAGTATCGTCACCAGTAAAGTCTTTCTCGTTTCTCATTCAACATCAGACACATTATTTAATATCCTAATTCGCAGAGACTTATACACGAAAAACTGTTAACACACCGTATATAGTGTGAAGAGGCAAACTTGGTGTAAGCGTACTTTTTATTTAAAAAAAACGGTGACGTCTCGAAAGCATTATAATTAAACTAAAATATGTGTCCTAAAGAATATAAGAAAAGACCTAAACTGTGTGTCCGAAAAAAGTTGATTTGAAATGATTTTAAAAGTAGATATCAGTAATTTAAGTTAATATTTTTTTAATACATTTAGCCAGACTGCAAGAATACAACGTCTAAATTTCTATGGAGTAGCAAAAAACATGTTACTCATAACATTATACATACATAAATCCTTGTACTAGGTTCTTTAATTTGAAAAATAAGTAACGAAGCAACATTATATGAATACGATTTCAAACAGACGATTTATAAAATCTATTGAGTAATAATAACAAATATTTGTCATACACGTAAACATGACATAAGCACTTAACATCTGTAACGTTAAAATGATTACCAAAATTGTTATAATTCTGGACAACACTTCACAATAATTGCCATGTTATTTCTTAAAGTTGTTATGTAACATTTGAGCAACCAATAAATCTTTATTCCCCATCTGATTGGTTAACACAATCAATATACATTTATGAATAGATTACTTCTATCATCTTAATAGCTGATGAATTAAATCTTATCATCATAAATTCATTAACAGGCACACAAAAAAACATCAATAAAACCATTACATAAATACAATACTAATCTTTATAAATGGATTTTTTTGTGTAAACAAGAAATATAAAAGGTTAATTACATCACTTAATTGTATGTTCCAGAACATTCGAAAGTTTCTAAGGTTCGTATTTCAAGATCTTGAAACTTACTCTAATATTGCACAGAAAACACTTAATTCTCTTAAGTTGAAGTAGAGCATACATAACTCAAGTAGAAGATGCGGTAACTTCCTCGCCTCTGACATCATGTTTAAGTTATGGCAAAAATATTATACATACACACAAAATACAATCGTTTTAAATGAAAATCATCATAAATATGCTTAAAAATTTGGTTTTCTGTGTTAAAATATTGTTATTGAAACAATAATTCGTAAGTAACATAACCACACAGCTAATTACTTTGTTGGATTGTATTATGCTATTCATGAAACTCGGTCCTCGCTCGTGTGCTGTAAAACCCTGGTTTTACCGGCTCCATAAATTCCCTCCACAATGCAGTCTCCGACCAGCTCGTTGGAACAATGCCAAGAGTCTAAGGTACTAGATCAAGCGGGAAACGGTTTAAGGATCTCTTGAATGACTTTCGTTCAGTCTATGTTTGTGATAACGTTAGAAATAGTGTTTATATTACAAATGTTTTTGAATTAAAAGTCCTTTACTGTTGAGTTTTTCAGCAATTTTTTGGTCATTATATATAATATCGTGTTCTTAGACGCAAATGTTCTTGTTACTACTAAAATTTAGTATGTTTTCAGGACTTTTAAATTTATTTTGGACTTCAAGTCAGAATTACCTTATATTCTGCACCAACGAATTTTTCAACTCTGTTTTTCTTTCATTTTGTCTACGTACCGAATTTATGAACCAACTTTTAACGTATCATGTTAACTGATGATGAAATTAACGATTTTTTGTCACATTTATACGTTCATGGCTACAAAAACCTGTGTGGATTTACATAAGTATATTTTGTACCAATTAACATAATTTATTCCGATGAATTAGGCGGCAAATTGATTTAATATGGGATCATATTACTGTGTTGTTCGTTCATTCGTTTTCAAACAATGATTGTTTAGTCGCGTATAAATTATGCGTGGCCACCTATTTAGCTGAGTTCCGCAAACAGGGGCTTATAGGGCTATGATTTCCGCGTTCATTTCATGGCTAATTTTGCTAACCATGGGACGCCACATTTGAACTTAGTTACACATAACAGAAATGAGTATATATACATAGATGTATATAGATTATATATAATCATTTATAAAAATATGGTAATGTCAAAAATCACGATATTTAAACATAATGAATTATACAAATTCTTACAAGATAATTTTATATGACATATAAGTTGTATATGTATATATACATAAGGTATTTTTGCCATAATAACTTCAAGGATAAATCAAAATTCAATAATTTTGAATAGGAATTATTATGTTAGTCTTTATTTTTGATATCAAACGTGAACAAGTCAATTTGATATGTTAAGTTGGTAATATTTGTACGTGTTAGAGGTCATTGGTAATACAATAACCAGTTATATTATAACATGTATGTATGTATTTGGTGTTAATGTTAATTCAAGATCGAATGTGACACAAATGAGTTGTATCACGATAAACACATAAACTCAGTGCAATCAATGTTTATGGTGGGTGTAAAGGTGCCGAATGCACAGGTCGAAGTATCAGCTTATTCGATTATGGGCTGGAATGTGTGGGACTGCCAAGGCCGTGGAATGCAAACCAGAAGGCAATAAATTTATATAACTTTTGCAAGCTTTTAGATGACACTGGACTTTTTTATAACCGAGCTATAAAATATATTACGTAACGTAATCGGTTTTTTTATTTGTTTTTTTCTTTTACCTGACAAAAGTACCGTTTCTATCAGATTTGCAAGACATCAATAATTGTACATACATAACATTAAATTATCTAGTTGTACGTTGATGTAATTGTATGGTAATGTTATACGTAATATGTCTAACAGATTAAAACATGAAAAGGGACGAACTTAAAGCAATCTGCAATTTGTTTATCAAGAGATAGTTAAAAGAAAAAGTTTTTATGTAGGTACTCTCTCTTAAGAAATGTCAGAGTAGAAAATGAAATTTTTCCTGCACCTGCCTGTATCGTGTGTGCAAAATTACATGTAATCTGTTTAAGCCTCATCTTCTCTTTATAAACACCGCGTTGTGGAGTCCTGTCTCGTAAATATCGAGATTAACGATCGGTCCGGTTGAGAAAAAAAACGCAATATTATCCGTACACTTTTTGTGACACACTTATGTGACGCGGTTTTTTGTTTTGGTCTTAATTACATTTCTGATTAAATTTAATAAAAAGTATATAAAAGGAGTTTACAATTCAATCAGTTCTTAATTTGTGGTATTTTGTCTTTGTCACTGTCAATGTCAAAAATATACAATTATTTGAAAGAATTATATGTCAAAAGTGACAATACAATTTGACGTTCTGAAAAGACATGTATTTGTATGAAAAAACACTTAATGCAATAGTAGAATTGGACGTTTGGCAAATAAAAATAATATTCTACCTTTAGTTATAAAGCCGATTATACAAAATTTTGCCGATCGTTCTAACTTTCAGCTGTTAAATATTAATTATTATTAATTGATCAATGTAACGTTTTAAGTGTATTAAATATTCTCAATCGATTAAGTCGTTTTTCCAATCACTTACAGATTCAGAATCATTTAATTTTTTTGTGGTCAATGCCAAGAAATTAAGTATGGTCATTTGTAATTGTCATTACAATTTTATTTATTACGAAACTGAATTTCTGAATATATTTATTAGTATGGATGACAAGTACAGTTCTACAATTTTATATTCTGAGATAAGCACAGATTAAAATATAATATACACAGTATATATTAATTGTTATGGCTGAATAATGTTATTTCATTGCACTTTAATAAAAATTAAAAAAGAACAATGGCGTTCTTAGAATTTGTGAATGTTTTAATTTTATAACATTGATTTTCTAGAATAATTTTACTAAATTCTTTAGCTAAGATATAAATTTTACATTAATCATTATCCAATGAATAAATATGTAATATTATTAACATATTCAATGAATAAATAAATAGGTCCGCACATTAAACTTGAATTAAACTTATATTGTAAAACTTTTTATATGTATTTAGTGATACTCGCAGTCTATTCTTCGTTTTGTTCCGTGAAAAAAAAATATGTTCGCTATATATGAAAAACAATATTTTTCTTATCATGACGGTAAGCTTAAAACTCTTGACAAAATTTAATTTCACAAAACCCCATTATCAATTTCCATAACAACGGCGCGCACGCGAAAGTTTTCACTTCTAAACGTTTGATTTACGTCTTTCAGTAAGACTTCGTAACTAAACACAACAGCTATGTCTGTGTTGTAGCTGAGCGAGGCGGATTCATTATAAGGCTTTTACACACTATAAACTGAAGCAGAATTTACTTACATAACAAAAAATCCAACTAAAATGACATTTTGACAATGACAATTGACAGTGACAATTCGTAATATCAATTTTAATCACAACATACTCTGAACTTAAGTTAAAAATATATAGATTTCTGAACGTTAATTTAAAATCAAATTTCTATTCTTCAAATTATATTATATATACTAAATCTTAGCAACTAATATGTCATTTTATTTAGTAAAATCTCTTAGCCGTCAGTGTGGTCGTGTATTTGCCCCGATAATAATAAGTACCAGTTGCGTGATACGTCAATGTACTTAGTACGGCCGTCCAAATAAAATTATGGTCTGTCATACTTGTTAGCGATAAAAGCATTTGTTTACTAAATATTATAAAGTACTAAAGCACCTTTAAAATACATTCATTAATTCTGATATGAAAGCTTTTAGCGTCTATT